GCATTGGTACACAGACACCTGAAGCCTCACACCTTCTGCTCCATTTGACCTGGAGTTCCCAGGTGGGCTTCTGCTTCACTGAAATTCCTATGTTGTTCATCTCCTTTCCCCTATGGTGTCAATATAAAGCCCTACTGATGACTCTCCCAAGGTTCCTGCCAAACACATTCTTTTCCAACCTTGTTAGGTGAAGTCCATTGTGTGCTAGTAAGCCGACTTCCAGAAAACCTAACCGTGGTCCCAGAATCCATATAGCTCATGCTGGCACCACTGACGCAGCCAGTGGTTCACCTCCATTATCTTCTTTTCCTGTCACACTCCTCTGCTTCTGTCAGGAAGGATCAAAGATAATACCATCCGTGCCCCCACTCCCTTCAGCTGGCTCCTGAGAACTTCACAGTGAGCCTACATGCATGTGAAGGTGTTCATAGCTGTGTCGTTTGTTCCCATGAGGACCATCATAAATGGTCAATAATCTGGAGGTTTGATCAGTTTTGGCTTCCAGTCTGCAATATCTTTAATCTTTGCCCCTGGCAAGCAAGAAGCCTCACATGATGTTCTGTATCCCTCAGCGGAGAGTAACCGAGGACCAACATTTTCATTTTCCTTACAATGCCATTTATTCATATCCCCACGCCCTCTTCACTCTGTCTTTCATGTCCTTGCAGTTCTTCCTTTCTCCCTCCTCCACCACATTCCCAATTTACTTTGGACTCTTCCCCCACTTCAAATAAAATTAAAGCTATCAGGAGACCTGACAATGGACTTTCCCAGACACTGTGGTGCATCCAGTATTTCAGCAGTGGAGTGGAACTTTCCTGCCTCTCCCCTTCCACTACTCCATGAAATACTGTTCCTGGGAGGCAGTGGATTCTGAGGAAAAACACAGAGGGGGTCTGCAGCGGAAAGGGAGAATCTTTGGAAACTGCCAACTTAGTCTGGATCAAGCCCATTGTGTGTTTCGGGAAATGCTCCCACCTTCAGTTGAATAACATGCCTGAAGGAAGCCAGAACAACAGCAAGGAAAGAGAAAACTAATCTCCTTCCCTTGCAACCCCCGCCCCCCCCAAGCATTGAGGCTGGCTTGAGTTAACACAGCAGGCCTTCTAGCTATAACACCCATCTGTCCATTATACACAAGTTACTAGGAGAAAAGCATGTTATGGTTTGTAAGTAACAATGTGCTTTTTCTGTTGGGGTGTTGGAAATTAGTATCTAATAACTTTGCCAATACCAAAGGGTTAAGAATATCCTAGAGTTTAAAAGCAACTGGTGGATTTCATAACGGCTAAGCTCTGAAAACTATCTTTCATGTCTCAATATGAATTGTTTATCCTTACTGCTACCAGCCCCTACATTCCAGCGGTATGCTTTCTTTACAGTCTGCCCTTCCCACTGAGATTCAAGGTGGATTAGAAAATTTAAAACAATGTAATAGAGATGGTATACTCTGGTAAATGGAACATAAACACCAGCTTCTCAGCAATAATTCTTATTAGAATTTGTACAAGCAGTGATTCATATGACTCATTACTAGTTAGTAAATGAAAGAGAAGCTGGTTGAAACTGGGTACAGTTATTTAAAGGAAGTATAAGCTGTTAAAGGAAGCATACACTTGCTAACATTTTCATGTGATTAAATTAGTGTGAATTTTAATTGGAGATTGCTCATGTGCACTATTTTGATTAAAACACCTTAAGTGAAAGCAAAGTATAATACAATAAAACAAAATAGTGCTTCTCACAGCTATTTTCTTACAAGTAAGGCAGTATGTATAGTATACTAACAGTATGTACATTTTCCCCCCCCCCCCCCCCCGTAAGGTAAATGAATTCTCAAATTGTGTTACAGGAAACTCTAGCATTCCTGAAATGGGACAAGCTTCCCTGAACTGCTTACACACCACTGAGCATTTTCCTCTATATTGCATAGGTGGTGGTGCTGGATTCTAAAGTTATGTGGGTTAACACAGTGAAATCGAATCATCCTGACCTCAGAAAATGAGCTGCAATCCTTCCTAGAAATCTCTGCAACATACTAGGCTTCCTCAATTGACAAGCTGATATGGAAGGAGTCCCCTGCCGATGGAAAACCTGAAAAACAATCACTGTTCTCACATGTGCTCCAACTGAGAAAACCTTTGCAGGTACAGCGGCTCCTGTGCACTCATGGAGCTCCACCCTCAAACCTTCCTTTTTTTGACCAGAGATTTCCTATTGAGTTAAATTGAGGGGGCAAGTCCTACAAAAGATGTGTCAATGAAATTGTCCCTCCACTGAACAGAGTGGAAGAGTCTGCAGATTTGTGTGTGTTTTGTAAAGTGCAGTCAAGTTGCAGCTGCCTTATAGCAACCCCAAGCAAGGGGCTTTCAAGGCATTTGAGAAGCAGGGGTGGTTTGCCATTGCCTTTCTCTGCCAAGGTTTCCTTAGTAGTCTCCCTTCCAAGTACTGACCCTGCCCAACTTCCAAGATCTGTTGAGATCCAGCTATACCATGCCACCTTCCCTCCCCTGCAGATGTCAGAGCTACAGTTTCATTTACTATTACCTTAGAGCCTTACAGGTAACCAGTAAAGAACAAATATATTTTGTGTTTCTCCAAGCACAGGACTCCACTGCCTATTCTACACCAACAGGGGCTATCTCATTTACTTCTACGTCAGAAAATGCTTGTTGCACACTTTCTGATGTACTTGTAGAACACTGCCCGAGTACACAGAGCTGTGTTCCTGAATCCTAGTGTACACATAACAAGTTCTGGATTAACACACTTTTTGTTCTAGCCCCCCACCCCCAGCATCCTGGCAAAGGAAAATTGTAGAATGCTGTGTGCAATAACATTAACAGAAGAAAAGAGCAAGAGTCCAGTAGCACCTTAAAGACTAGCAAAATTTGTGGCAGGGTGTGAAGAAGTGAGCAGTAACTCACGAAAACTCACACCCTGTCACATACTTTGTTAGTCTTTAAGATGCTCCTGAACTCTTGCTCTTTTCTGTTGCTACAGACAGACTAACACAGCTATCCATCTTGATCTATTGACATTAACAGAAGTTACAGTTTCTTCCCCACATATTCTAAATAATCACAGAATTAATAGACAATGAATGGGGCATTTTCCCTTTTTGTAGTTTACTGATGTCCATGACATTACTAGTAATCTCATTTTATTTTCTTTGAAGTTTTCCAATTCTACAGGTTACCAGGGAGAAAAAAAGCCTCACAATGGGGAAAAACATGGTGTATTCCACTCCCCCCCAATGGTCTCTTGCTCTGAAGTCTCATTCATAAATCCGTATCAGAATAGTTTCTCATTCATGTGTGTATTACTGATTAGTAATAGGACTCATCACATTATGCAACATGCCTGAATTATTTCTTGGAAAAGAAACACTACATAAGGAATATAACCAGTAAGATGGATCACGTCAAGAACCTGCAGCTAAATTTTGCAGGACAATTATATGATAGAGTTCCACAATCCAACCTGCTATTTATTTAGCCTGGTATGATTTCAACCTAATTTTAATAAACCATCAAAATATAAGTGAGCTGCTACTTGACGTCTGAGGAAGCTATCAAATACTGTACCAAAGAAACAGTTTATATAGCTGCAAGGGTCAGCTTGGCCACAAAAACTCAATGAATATCTTGTCAGCCATGTTTTCTAGAATGCTAGCATTAACAGCATTTTAACCCACAGCATATTCAGGCAGAGGACAATGGCTTGAAATGAAAGCTATCAGTTTTTGTTGCTGAGAGCCCCTTTCTTTGGAATTAGAAGACTAATAATAATAATGTGTTGAGCCTCGGTTCCACTTGTCTGAGTCTGGTTAAAACAGCACAGATTACAATCACTGCACAAGAAAAGACGACTTATTTACACTATCCTCCCTGTCCTGCCACCTTCTGGCTACAAGACTGTGTGGAAGCATCAAAGCCTAAGAATCCTGTAAGCAATAACACCTAGCCAGAGCCTGTATACTCAACTCAAGTTCCCCACTCACCACATCTGCACTTATTGCCTGTGTTATTGACACTCATCACTGTACACTGACAGACTTTGGTCATCCTTTTGTACAATGCTCAAATGATAGACTAGGACAAGTGAAAAAGTATTCCTTCCAAGCATATTTACATTTAGGTGTACACATTTCATTCATATTCAACACCTCTTGTACACTAATCTGATAGAATTCCCTTTCTCAGCTAGGTTCCTGCTGGTACTATCACATGTATACAAAGCATTGCCACGCCATACATGGAACTATAAATCTAATTTACATTAATGAGTGTGACCACAGAACCAGTCTGGGTGTGTGCCCGCATCAGTGCATCACAAGTATTCATGCAGCTTTGCAGAGCTGCTCTGATCCTTGGTTCTTTTACAGATCTGAATCCTTATTTGTCCTTTTACATCCATTGTGACTATAACAACAAGAAGTTGAAAGGTTATCAAGGGGTAATTAGATGCAGGTTCACACTTGCTTATTTATCCCTGGGTTAGTGGCAGTGCAATCCTAAACCTTCAGCATACTTAGATGGGGGGGGGGGGATTCTGTTTAGGATTGTACTGTGGGACACATCTAAAAGAGCTCCCCTTCCTCCAGTAGAAGTCGGCAGACATGCCAGAGATCACCCATTCAGCACCCAGTAGGAATCCATGCATGAGCGAAATCAATCTACTCCAAGGAAAATGAAACTGCCTACGTGTACTTCAGTACACGATCAGTCAGGACTAACCACCCCAGCCCAGAACAAAATCATGCCATCTTGACATCACAGTCCCCTCCCTCGTCCCTCCAGTTTACCCAAAGCGTGTAGCCGTCCTGCCTCCCTCCTTCTCCCACGTGCAACTGCGATCTCTTCCCCCACCTCAATTCCGAACCGGCCCACAGGCTTGCCCCCTGGCGGGAGCTTCCCTCTCCGGGCCGACCCTCCTGCCGGGCCAGCGTTCGTCTCCCCCTCAGGCTTTCGCCCCCCGGCTAGCTCTGCCACACTCACCGCCGCTGCCGGAAGGAAGCTAAGCCGGCGCGTGTGCCGAGAGGGACCTTGGCCTAGCGAAGCGCAGCCTCCACGTCAGGAGGGCCAGCGCCGCGGAGCCAATAGCGGGGCCCGGGAGCTGGTGCCCCTCTCCGACCCCTCCCCGTCTTTCCCTTCCCAGCTTGCGCACCTCGCTAACGCCGCCGCCGCTTCTGCCGCCGAGCATCCTCCTCATTCCCTATGCCCGAACGGCGCCTCCTCATTGGCCCGCGCCGAGTGGCGCGCGAGGGGCTGGCTCTGCTACGTTCTAAACGGCTGTAGCTGCGCGAGGTGGAGGGAAGGAAGCGCGCGCGAGCTGTACAAAGGTTACTATCGGTCAGGCGCCGCCCGGGGTCACGGGTGCGGGAGGAGGCTGTTTGTGCATGACGGAAGAGACCCGGGACAAGTGCTGGAGGGAGCAAATAGAACGGAAAAGGCTCAGAGTGCCGACAGACAAACAGGCCGGTAGATATCTTCTCTGTGCTTAAATAAACCACGCATCATCATTAACTTCCATTTGACTGTCTGATACATTGGTATTATTACGGCGCTTAATTGTTTTAAAAGCACATTAAACGGCTTATATATTACTCATTATGCAAATCAATATGACTGGCTGCTCACCCGCTGCCGTTTAGCTCCAAAATCTAACCAGGTTATTATTTATTACATAATAACATAATCCCCAAATGCTAAACCCGTCTGCATACTGCTGGAAGAACTTGAATGGAGCACATGAAACCAGATGTTGTTGACGTTTTTGTTCATTTAGAAGACACAATTCTCAATTAAGGGAGGGGATTTCGAACCCCCTCTATGCTCTGCTTTGTCACTTAGAATTATCATTAATGTTGCAGTACGAAGACCAATTTACAGTGTGATCCTAAAGAGAATTATATCCTTCTAAACCCATGGATGTATAACTCTTTGGGATTGCCCAGACAAAACGCATTCCTCAATGCATTTATGCAAAAGTAAAGCCCACTGTTTTAAATTAGAATTAGCTTCTAACAACAAACAGGGAGCCCAACAATGTTTACCTGAAAGTACGGTAAGTCCCATTGCTTTCAATGGAATTTGCTTTGTTTGAGAGTTGCATATATTTCTCACAGCCGGACTTTATAAACTGCAGGGTGACTGTGCAGGTCCCATGTCAGTTATGAACATCTAACAATATTGAACAAAGGTATGTAAATGAATAAATAATAATAATAATAAATAATAATAATAATAATAATAAATCTTCACAGTGCTCTGCAAGAAAGTCTCAGCAGATGGGGATCAACTACCTGAGTCTCATGTCCCACTCTGTTATAGAATAATGTGCAAATGGCCATGGAATATGCCACCTCCTTTGCAAATACTTTTTCTACCTTTTCTTGTTTTGCACTAACACCCCAAATAAGTTGCTGTCTGTGGATATGAATTTGTACTCACTGCTCAGCTACCCAGAGCAATTCCACATGGCAGGTTATTTGTCACAAGCCTTGCAGCAAACAGGTGAATTACAGGTGAACCTCCTTAAATGTGCCTGGAAGCCCAATTGGTCTGAATCCTTTCCAAGCACATATGCGTGGGTGCATAAAGATAAGCACCTGTAAGTTATATTTTACATGCTTCTGCTGAAAGCACAAGTATAGCAGCAGCAAGTGCAATCACCGTATGAGGCAGGAGCCAGTTTTAGTGGTCTCTAATGTGAATTTTTCAGGGATTTGCAGAGAACATCTATAACTGATTCCATTTTAAGTTCTTCACCCTTCAGAGACTTGCCTCTCTTTCATTCTGTGGTTTTTATACACTAAAGTAAGTATATGTGCTAGCACAGGATCTTAGTACTTTTATTGTATCGCACACCCTTATGGTAAATATGCCCAAGTTCTGTTTGTGGGTAAAACCTGTTCAGGATGGAAAGGCCTGTTGAACCTAGCCGGGACTGGTCATCCTCAAGTTCTTCAAAAAAGTGGTTGGAGATCCATAGGACATTTGGGACTGAAATACTAGAAAGCTTAGCACTGTGTTCTACTTATTAATTTATTAATAATGGCCTGTCTGATATTATATATTTCTACTTTTCACAATGTTGAGTTTACAACCCACGAACTACAACAGATATATAAAGCTGCAAACATATGGGGTATGACCATTTGTTCATCTAGCTCAGGGGTGTCAAACTCATTTGTTATGAGGGCCAGATCTGACATAAATGAGACCTTGTTGGGCCAGGCCATGTGTGTTATAAAATGAAATGCCATGTAGCGGAGATATCTCTCCCTTATAATAATTGAATAGCAACGTTCTATTTCGCAACATTCTAAATTTGGCCCCTTTAGTGTTAGGCCGGAAAAACTGCCACTCAGAAGACACTGGCTGGGTTGACTGGCTGCTTTGTGCAGTCCCGCCCAGCGTTCCAAGGCTATTTGCATATGGAAGCTGATTGGACTACACTCCATCCCACACCTCAAACTCACCCCCCCCCCGCAAGGCAGTTGGATTTTCAGTTGCATAACATACCTCATAGGGGAGAGGAGAATGATGTCAGCTGCCCTTTCCCTAGGCAGAGGCTGTGGGGTGGGGGGTTGTAAAACTTAAGACAGACAGGCAGATAAAGGTTGGCTGATGGTTGCCAGGAAAGGACATAGGGTTGCCAACTCCAGGTTGGAAACTTCCAGGATATTTTAGGGATGAAGCCTGCTGAGGGTGGGGTCTGAGGAGGAGGAGGAAGAGGGGGGCCTCAGAAAGATACAATGCCATACTGCCCACACTCCAGACAAGCTGTTGCCAGTCTCCAGGTGACAGCTGGAGAGAACTTAAAGCTCTGGTGCTAATTCAAATTGTTGCGATTTATCGACAGAGTAGTGTTCTGGAAAATCTTTAGGAATTGTTTGGTGCATTTACGATGGGGCTCCTGGGGAACTATTGATGCCAATCTTGGCCCAGCAGCCATCAAACCATTCTCTTCAACCCCCTCCTGTGCAGCTGACTTTCCCCTAGGGTTGCCAATCTCCAGGTGGGACCTGGAGATCTCCCACTGTTACAATTG